CTGGGTGCGAAGGAGGTGAAGATGGGAGGATTTCAAAAAAAACGATCTATGTAAGAACAGTTTTAGGATTTCAAGGAAGAGCTGCACCTGAGAGTGAGTTTTTTGTCGACAAAATTGTGACTATGGGGATGAGTTCGAGGTGGGGTTCGGGCTCTTCAGGTTTTTCAGGTATAACAGTATAACTGAGCACGTAACGCCCAAAACTAGGAAATTATGAAGATGAGCAATAACACCGTGACATTTGCAGAGGACACTGATTCTATGAAATGATTTGAGCGAAATGTATTGCGAAATGTGTCTTAAGAATTCTTTGACGGATTGAATGGATTCGTATAAATTGATTCGAAGTTTTTATGCTGTGACACCCACCCACCCACAGTTGGACGGATGATCGCGCGTCCGCAATCATCACAGCTGTCAGTCATACAAAACTCTTGTACTTTTGTAATTTTTTGCAAAAACCATGCATTTGATTCATTATCGCAAAATAAATTAATGCCTTTGCAGACGACACACCTTTATTCATTTATATTCTTTACATGCATACTAAACAACTGATTATCGTGTTCTTCGACATTTTTTAAAAATAAAACTTGCGCGATATGGAGCGAAAGAAGCAGTGAAAGGAGGTTTGTTTTTTGGCTTAGCAAATGGCACTAATTGATCATTTCCAAATTTCTGCGTAGATTTTTTGGACTGTGAAAAACCTTCTCCTATTTTCTCGTAGCATTTTTGAGAATTGATTTCTCACCTCCTGCCAGAAAAATTTTTTTGGACTTTGATGGATTTTGACTCAAATTCCATTCCGATTTGTTTCAAAAGTGATTAAATTAGTCTTTACATTTTTAGGTTTTCCTCAACCTTACGGAATTACTGGCTGAGAAAATGTCTTTGCAGAACCTTTGTAGGTGATGGAAAAAAAGCATTTACCACTGAGAAAAAAATGGATATTTTGTTTTGATAAATGTTTCATATCGAATTTTTTTCAGGAATTTCATCGAATGATAATTGTTAGATTTATGTAATGTTCTACTCTAACTGTATATCACACTTCATTGTTTCATGCCTTCCCATAGGGTCTATTTCATGAATATCTCAACGTATTCGTACAATACGTTTTATGTACATCATACAATCTTTTGAAAAATTTATTTTCAGTTGTAATAACGCATCATTCTGATCACTTATTACTTTTCATCAAACTATTTCTGGTTTAAGAAATACGCTGATTAGTCAGTAATAACTATTCAAGCGATGTTAGTTAGAATTTTGAAATTTCATGATTGTGGTTTTTTGCTTTCGACTGTCATTGAAGAGAACTTGTTAAATATAACGTTTTCTTGTTTTCGTGAACTCGAACAAGTCGTTCAGTTCGAATCACGTTCTTCTGAAATTGTTCATTATTATTGCCATCATAATTCTTCACCAATAAAATTCCAGTAATTCAAATGCAATTTCAAATAATGAAGAGCAAAGTCTAACTGAACTGAGATCATTATCAACTATGAGGCGATTGAATTTGCACGGTGGGGATGCACTATTAGTTGACTTTCGTCACTATGATACATTTTCAAAAATGTAGCTTGAATTTCAAAACCGATTAATAAAAATTTCGCTTTTTTTTAAGGTTTTTGACGTTCAAGCTCCGTCCGACCTGAAATTTCCGACAAATCCTCATAAGTAATCTTCAATAATAAATAAAGTTGTCTTCAGATTAACTCATAACTAACTTTGCATAAAATTCGATTCAAGGCAAATATCATTAAGCAACTTAAAACAAAGAAAACCATTCAATCAAGTAAGATACCAACGAAATTGTTAATTAAAACGACAAAATAAAGAAAATCATACAATTGTAACGAGAAGATATGACAGTGTTAGTGATGATAACAAAAGAATTAAATCCATTCGGAACGTTTCGAAGCAATCAATCATTTCTTTAAGAACTGAACGGAATCAGAGGAAAAGTAAATAAAACAGTGAATAGCAAAGGAATGAATTCTCTTAAAATTTGGGCTGTCTTCGTCAAAAATGAACAAATTTTTAAAAAATGGACATACACATCCAAACGAAACAATAAAAGATGACACGCATTGTGCTACATAAAAATTGATTTTATAACCAAATATATCGTATTAATGAATTGTTAATTTCAAATTTTATTCTTTCATTCATCATTTGTTGATGTTTAAATGAGCGTATCAATTAAACTCCTCTCATTTTTTTCTATTCGCTTCGACAAACTGATGCCACTGATAACAATAAATCTGGGTTAGAAGGAGGACGTCTTCTTTCCGAAGAATGAACTTAAGACATCATGAATCCTCGCAAAAAATGGGAATGTTTCACGTTCGGCTTCCTTCGTCATTTATAATGTTCCAGAATAGTTTCTTGTTTCGCTTTGTTGTTCCAAATCATTGTCTGTTGTTGCGAAAGAATACATATGTTTGACAATCTGCTCACTTATTTTGAACTTATCATTCACCTCCCACGTACTAATCATAATGGATTGATTTCAACTATTCTATCGATCTCTAATCAAAATTTCAAAAATATCCATATGCTTTGCAAAGTTATTTTAAGTTGATTACATTGAAATTTTAGATTTTAAACATATCTAATCGATACAAACGATTGACAACACTAACGAAGACGAAACGGAAGCAACGTAAATGGTGAAGGGTGAGCTTGAAGATAGAAGCAATAATTGCAATGGTATTGTTTACAAGTTTCGACTGAAATGCATGTTCATTCGATTGTGACACAATATAGGAAAAGAAAAGATTACCGATTCAAATTTGCTGAAAGTGTTTATGATGATGATGGAGGAAATTATAATGATGTTTTTAAAAAAGTGGGTTGATATTCGTAAATAAATGAACAACTTATGAAGATGATATCGAACAACAAACCAGAAATAATGGAAGAATATTGACGAAGACAATTAACGCGAAAATGCAAAAATTCCCAAAAATGATGCTGAAAAGTTCTTGAGTGAATTGAAATATTTTTATGAAGGTTTTTGCGGTATGGGCGCATAGGATAGTTTGACGTTTGACGAAAGCTTTACCAATGAATTGAATGTTTGCAGCGAATGGAAGGAGAACATTTTTATCATGTTTATCTCGAATTTATAGTTTCCATTGCGATTAAACAAACTAAATGGTTCAGACATGCAAATAGTTCGGCATTTGATGAATTTCATGTATGCAATAACCTTCAGGACATAAACGCCGCGGCAGAATTCTAAAGATATGCATGTATATGAAGGATTTGATATTTGAAATCAGAACAAATGTGTAGTGAAGGGGGTATGTATCATCGACTTGGATTGTTGTCATAGAATATGTTGCCTGCAACCATCCCATTTTAGAGTGAGTGCCCAAATGAGTTACAACAGTCGAGCGTTCTTCGGCCCTAATCGGCAGTTTCGATAGCTCTGGTGTAGTGTCGATCAACTGTTTCTGAATCTATGAATGCATCAAACAGGCATTTTGCATTACTACTTATAACAATCAATTCCTCGTTCCCAGCCTTACACATTCTTAGGACTTCAATACCCAAGTGGTTCTTTACTAGATGCTGACGGTGGAGCCATGATATCGATTGGTAACCGATCGAAGAATTTCAACCGAAATTCGATTGCATTGCAGGCTGTTGAGTTCAGTTTTCCGGTGTAAAAATGAATTTCATCGGATTCCGATCGAAAAGCTTCGAATTTTGTTCACAGGAGCCATAACAAGATCTGTTGGGTTTGGTTCTGACAGTTTTCTCATATAAATTAGTTTGGAATCCGAGTGAGCATTCAACACACTCGATTTAGGAGTAGCTATTAAAGATTTGGCAAGGAACAGGCCCGATCGCGTGACTGTAATTCAACGTCTACTCTTTTCTGAGCCCAATAAAGCAGCTGAAAACTTACTAATTACCAGTTTTGTTTGGGTTCATTGTTGGTACGGGCAACCTAATCACATTTCAAGAATATACCAAACGCAAATCATACTTTGCAAGAAGATAGTGAAAATCCGTAATCATCTCCAGTTAGAATCGTTACTTGAGTTTCAACCGGACTATTTCGTCATTACAGCCCAATTCTGTGCTACGAACGATTCCTCCTCACTCTCTGATCCCTTTTGGCAAACAACGATGACCGACATTGATTGTATGNATTGTATGCTTTTTAGCCCCAGTAACACGTGCCATCCCGTTTTGGAATAACGTGAAAATATTGCGTGAGAGACGTGAGTTTTCATCTACTTTAAAAGAGGGAATGGAACGTAGTTCGCTTTTGAGTTTTGGTTTTTTGTTTTCATGCCATCTTCTCTTTTACTGCTTGCTCTCGAAGGTTCGCATGTTTGTGCTTTGTAGCAATTAATTCTAAATTCAAGTCTTTCATGAGAAAAATAAAGAAGTCATTCTTTAGAAACATTAGCTATCTCGTGATTAGGAATGCAGCTGGCTTGAAGTAACTATTTCTTAGCAATCTTCTGTCTCATGAATGTTTCGTAACAACAAAGTAAGTCGTGAATGTAGAAGATGCCACTCAAAAATTTTCGAACGTTTTGTTTTTTTTTTGAAAATATCCTATGAAGATAAGATACCCTTTCATCTTCTGACGCTCCGAACCAGCAGGATTGCTACATATTCAGTGTCATTGGAGCGTGATTTATGATCCTATCATTTATTGATTTATTATTTTGAGTAAATTAAGGCTGGTTGTGATTAAATTGAGGCGCTCCATAACTATATAATTACCCTCTACCACATTCTTACATGTCGCCAGTGAAGTTCTTTTTCGATATATTTCAGGAAGACCACACCATCTTTCCGACGAATTTGATGTGTTTTGTATATTATCATTATACTGGTGCTATTGCTCACAACGGAAGGCGCTGCATCTAATTTTTGTTCAGTGATAATATTTTTTGTTGGAGTAACTGTTGGTTTTGTTGTGACCAGCGGCTCATAAAGCTGCTGTAGAATGATGCTGCGTGTTGGTTATGGGTGAATATTCGAATATGGATGTTTGTCCGATTCCGCTTCCACCTCGTGCTAACGCATCAAACCCCACTCCGATCACTTCCCGTCTTCCCACTACCACTACTGTGGCTAGCAGTGCCGGCAGCAGCAGTCAGACCGTAGTAGAGAAATCGGGTTCCACATTATGCTCTCGCAAACTCCAGGTTTTATGAACATTTTCATTCATTTCTTGAAGATTTTCATTCTTATACAATAAATGTTTGCCTATTTTTTACCGCATTGTTTTATAAAGTTCTTGTAAACATTTCAACACAACAGTTTCAATACAAATCAGTGATTGACGCATCTGCAAATTAAGCCATATAGACTTTCAAAGTGTACATCTCAAATTCTCGCTGAAATTCTGATATGGAAATGAAAAAACATCAAAACTTTACTGCACTGATTCAGAACAGCTTTTCGCCTACACCAAAATAACTTCAATAATTCTTTTCTGAATTTAGATCGTTCTGATAATCGATGTGAAAGCAGCCAAAAATTTGCGAGTGCGTGAAATGGCTTGTCACGATGTGCAAAAAGTTGCAGATACGTTAAATGTCAATCTCACTGTAAATTTCATTTCTTCGCTTCAGTATTTCATTTCAGTGTTCATTATTTAGCGTTAATGATGTGTTTTTTCGCTGACAGTTTACAGTCTGCTGGTCAGTTTCTGATTGCATCCACCTGGTGAAGGTTCAGATTCAGAAGAGCTGTTCAGGGAAGGTCACGAACTGAACCCAGCGTTTTGGGATGAGATACATTAAATTGTAGAACTTCTCGAGCTGATCACGAATATGTAAAACATTTTTGCGAAACACAAAGGGGACGCGAGATATGGCGACGAAAAGGTTTTCAGTGTCTTGAAGTAAAGTTCTGAATTTCGATCTGGCAGCAGCGGCTTGGCCTAAGTGCGCTAGCACTAATCGTAAGTATGGATGCCTTGTGGTTCTGTCCCGCGCGACGGCGGAACTTTTTTTCTCATACATTTCTAACATATTCGAACAACCAAGATATTTTGCTTCACTTCCCACAACTTCTGTCTTTCTTTGTGGGGACATTTTTACATATTTTGAAAATTTGAGATTTCATTTGATTGTTTGTATCTGATCAAAATGAGTATGTCTATTCACAACAGAATGATCAAAGTATAGAAAAAATTTGCATAAGAACATTTCACAAATGACAACTCGTCACAGGTGTTGATATCACAGTCGCATTCGTTTACCATTGTCCGAGAATCATCATTGTGTGACAGTGTACCATGATGAAACGCTTTTGTTCAGCAAATGTGGAGGCTTTTTTGGGTGAAAGGTTTGACGTGGGTGATGCTACTTCTCCAACTAGAGAGGAGATGAAAAGGCGCAAAGATTAGCCGATATTATTATGCGGCATGCGGAGGGTGATGAGTTGGAGGTGGAGGAAGATGAGGAGGTTTGCAGTGAGAGTGAAGGTGAAGAGGAGCCGTCGATAGACCTAGATGATGGTGTCATCCCAATTCTCGACAAAATTTCGTTCAGTAATAGGAAACTGATTTGTGCATCAGATGTTCGACGCGCTGTTGACTTCTATCGCTCATCAAGTGATGGATGCGGAACATATTTTTGTATGCATGCGAAATTCAGGTTCATCAACACCAAAAAAGATCTGCATCGGTTACATGAATTCGAAAAAGAACGAAACATCTGTTTTCAGTCGTCGCAACCAAATAAATGCACTATCGCCCGAGCTCAAATATACGGTCATTGAGAAGATAGTGAAAGGAGTAATATTGCATAACACTGATTCGCGGGCGTTGGCCCATTCATTAAGTAAGAAATACAAAATACCACATTTCGAGGCTTCTACGGTATGGCTTTAAAAATTTAAACACGTCAGCCGTTTAACATCGAGACGTATAATAAAATTTGTGAATAGGCGAACATTCCGCAACCGTTCACAAATTGAAGAAGCCTCCCGCAATTTTGTTGAACATATCAAATCGAAAAATCTGGAACCAGATTGTATCTATAATGCAGATCAGTCTGCAATTTCTAAAGAGTTGTATTCGGCACGGACTCTGGCACTTCGTGGACAGCGAAGCGTGGAATGCGTCGCACAACAGTTGGGATCTTTAACTCACTCATTCACCGTTCTCCCCATCGCAAGGGTAGATGGTGTTTTGGTGCGCAAATTGTATGTTGTGATAGCTGAACCAAGTAGCAAATTTCCACAAAGTTTCAACTGGCATGCCCGTAACCTTATCATCGAATGCGGAAAGTCAAACATTATGACAACATCGCATATGGTTTCATGGCTCACGAATTGTGTCGCAACACTACAGGCGCAAACACACACGCTCCTCATACTGGATTCATGGACACCATTTAAGAAGCATAGAGAAATGAAGGAATTGCTGCCGTTNAAAACATCCCCGCCGGCACTGCGTCACATATCCAACCACTGGATCGATTCTTTTCCGGATATTCAAAATGTTTATCTGCAAGATCCATTCTTGTGTGGTCACACATGACATTGATTTTCTGACCTGTCGCCGCGAAAATATTCTCCGTATTCTCGAAGTGGTCTTTAATCAATTCTGTAATCCGGTATTTCGGGAATTCAATAAGTATTCTTGGTATGCGTGCGGTACATTCAAGAACATCCAGAAGAATTCCAAACGCCTGTTGAAGTGTGCTTCCCGCAGCACGTCGTCCAAGAATGTGATATTAACAATTGTGATCATTTGTCCTTTGTAAAATGTTCTTATTCTATCTATGTTTCAATCATTTTGTTGTAGACAGACGTGCACATTACGATGATATGTAAAAAAACCAAAAAAATTACAAAATAAAAAAAAACAAAAAATAAAAGAAGAATATACTCACAACTTGAAAAAGCTGTGGGGAGTGAAGCAAAATATCATGGTTGTTTGAATATGTTAGAAATGTATGGGAGAAAAGGTTTCGCCTGTGCGCGGGACAGAACCACCAGGCATCCAAACTTAGCGCAAACGAACTACCCACTAGGCCATGGAACCGCTGCCTAAATGAAATTCAGAACTTTACTTCAAAACACTGAAAACCTTTTCCCCGCCATATCTCGCGTCCCCTTTGTGTTTCGCAAAAACGTTTTACATATTCGTGATCAGCTCGAGGAGTTCTACAATTTGATTTATATCTCATCCCGAAGCGCTGAGTTCAGTTCGTGACCTTCCCTTCAGTTAGTTTGCGTTGTCGGGGACTGCTGTTCCGTTTTCTTAACTGTATCACTAGATTTCACATATCGTATGGCTCTAGCTGAAGCGGTATTGAGATTGTGACACGAGAAATAAGGGTGGTAATCAAAGCATTTGGTTGAATTTATAGCGGTTGGACTTTGATCGACTGGATTTTGGTGAGACAAACGCATTGGATGTGTTTTATAATGCAGATGTAGCACTGGTGGATGTCTCAATAACACAGCAACAACCGAGCTTATGTTATCATATTGGTGTAAGAGAATCAATGGGACAGTCATATAATATCATTCTGACTCATTTCACTGATGAAACTTCTGAATCACTCGTTGAAGCGTTACGGGTTCGTTTATTTATTGATTTGATGAGGATAGAGTGTAGAGAAAGGTGAACGGTAAATCCAATTCCTTTGTAATAATGGTGATTTGTATGTTTTCAGTGTGATTTTCGTGTATATTTTTTCGTTGTTCTGTGTTGAAATGCGATGTGCTTATTTGCAGAAAACGTTGGCACATTTGCCAATGATTGGCTACATTTTATCAAGTGATAATGCGTTCTTAATATCCGTTGATAAGTCGTCGAAAATTGACAATATCGCACAGTTGAAAGCTGATATAGAACAAAATTCCGATAAGGTGTGTTTGAGGGAAAGGGAGTTTTACTGATTTCTGCATTTATTTTCAAAATTAAGCATAGAGTTCAAATTATTGAAATGATGAATTCGAATGAAATTTCCAGAAACTGAAAATGCAGTCACACCTAAAAAACGGCCGTTTAATGTCGTTTCGAACACGTATGAAACAAGCGCTGAAGAATGTACAGATCGAAGCATCGGCCCATTCGCGTGAAAAATTCCTATCGGATCTTCGTAAAGCGAGAGAAACAGTCGATGTTAACGAGTCGAATCGTTTCTTGGATAAAATGAGACATCGATTGGATAATCCAGATGTTTTATCAGTTGATACACTTCATCAATTCATGCTTAGTTATAGGTTCGTTGGTTCATTTATGGGAGCTGATTGGTTTTTAAGGTGGTATGTTGTTTTATTTTAGGTATTAATTGGAAGGAGTGTTGTTATTAATCTGGTTATGGTAGTTGCTGTTTTTGTGTATTTCAGAGATAATCAGAACTATGACGCGATGATAAGTTTGATTGACGACTTGAGTCGAATCGAGAATTGCACAGTGGTTAATGAGCAAGCGATCAGATTTCTCTACGCTTTTGCATTGAACAGGTTTCGTTATTAATGCAATTTTAGTTTCGATTCACCTTTCAATTCTTTGAAAATTGTAAACTGAAACAGCTTGGTAATGAGATATCATCGAGCATGCAAATGGTCATTTGCACGTACATAAATCGATATGTTCAACTTATATACCATATATACTGATTGCCAACAGAGAATAATTGTTGAGATTTCAGACGAAATAAAGAAGGTGATCGAGATCGTGCACTAGAAACAGTCCTTCAGACGATCGCCGATAAGAAAGATAGCACAATATCACCGGATGTGATTTGCTTGGCGGGTAGGATTTATAAGGATAAGTTCATAACAAGCAATTATGAGGATCGTGAGTCGTTGGATAAAGCGATCGAATGGTATCGTAAAGCTTTCGAGCTTTCACCGCTCGAATATTCGGGTATTAATCTGACAACACTGCTACGAGCTAGGGGTGAAACATTCGAGAATAACAACGAAATGCAACAAATTGGTTCGTATTCAATGGCATTTTTAATTTAAGTTGTTGTTGAAAATTGAAATTTTTGTGTTTTTGTAATGAAGTGCTGCGAGACTGAAAAGAGCAGAAAGCGTAGAAGAAGACAAGAATGAGGGTTTTGCAGTAAATTATTATTTCTGAAAGAGATGTGAATTCATTTGATGATGAAATTTAGCAGTGATACTCAACAGTTTATTGGGTCGTAAAGGAGCGTTGAGCAATCTGAGTGAATACTGGGATGTGGCCACTTACTTTGAGGTGTCAGTGTTAGCAGAAGATTATCCGAAAGCATGCCAAGCTGCGCTCAAAATGGCCATCCTTAAGCCGCCAATATGGTTGGTTTTAATTGGAGTAATTTCTGTTGTTTTGTTGGTGTGAAACGATTGAGTTGAATTACTTTTTCGTGATTTTAGAATGAAATTTATGGAATGTGACGGAGTTAATCTGATAATATGGTACATTTACTTAACCCTTTAAAGTATGAAGCTTTCATTAGTTTATGATTTTTTGATGCTTTTTGTTAGGTTCTTAAAATCAACAATGGAGAATATCAAGTTGATAAATCGTTGTGCGGCAACAATGTCACCGATCGAAAAAGAGAAGCAGCAATTCTTATTTTGGTCAGAATTCTTTATGGAGGCGATAGATTCGGAAACAGAAATTGTTTGTGCGAGATTTCCGGTTTTAATTCAAGAAGTTACCAAAGTAAGGATTTTATTGCATCTGGTATTCTGTGTGTGATTTGTTCGTTTTATTGATCTAGAACAAATTCACATGTTGTCGGTTTGCAAAGCGATCGATATATGCAGTCAGCTTAAATGACCACTTTCATAAATATGAATCTGTGCATATATTCAGGTTTTTACGCCAAGTTTCTTGACAATGAATCTAAGTGAAGGTTCAATAATTCTGAGTCATGTTCTTGAGAATAGTCAACAAAAGAAACCCCCGCCAGGTATGTTTATTTGCTTTAATTATTGCTTTTAACAAAAGATTATTGATTGGAATCTGTCAAGGAATCCATCGTTGGCACTTCACAGCAGCGAATATAAAAGCTGTATCGGCTTCGAAACGTGACGATCGTTCGATGTTTTTGTACGTTCACGAGAATTCGGATGACTTCAATCTGGTATTTCCGTCGGCAGCACATTGCAATAAGTTCGTTACGCTATACATTATATGATAGCGATCAGTGTTGTTGTTGATGGATAGCAATTGTTTAGGGTAATGGCATCCTTAATAGAAATGACGAGTGAACTGGATGGAAATGCGGGTCGTGTGCTGCACGATTGCGAATCTGAAAATCGTCTCGAGGTGACTCTTTCAGAATTTGAGAAGTTCGAATTGAAATTCGATTTGTTGAATCGAATAATTGCACTCATCGTTTTATCTCTTTTCAGTTTGAATATGAACTAACGAACAGCGGTGAGCGTGTGGTGTTAGGACGTGGAACTTACGGGGTGGTTTATTCGGGAAGAGATCTAACCACGCAGAGGTCTTCGAAGTTTTGTTTGAGGATTGTATTATTCTGTTTTATTTTGGGCGAGGAGGCTTTATGTGGTATTTGGGAATGATATTTCATATCGTTCCGTCATAATTTTCTTAAACAGAAATACTTTAGGTCGATAGTGGTGAAAGAAGTCGAGGTGAAAAATGAAGAGGAAGTGCAGCCATTGATGGAAGAAATTCAGTTACATTCGACACTCTCTCATCCAAATATCGTTCAATATTTGGGATGTAAATTGTTGAAAAAAGAACAGGGCAATGATATCTTTTTGATTTTTATGGAGCAAGTTCCCGGAGGTATTTGTTCGGTTATTATTGTTAAGCATTGTCATCGTGCATTAAGACAGCCTACAATTGCCACTCAGTTTTGACGTATAATTACGAAATTTTTCTGGACTTATTGAATTTATTGTGAAATGTTCATTTCATCAGTGATTTTATTCTTATTATGAGATTGTCTCCAAATGACTTTTTTTTCAGGTAGTTTGAGTTCATTGCTCCGTAGTAAATGGGGACCATTGCTTGATAATGAACAGACAATGGCAATATATGGGAAGCAAATCCTGGATGGACTTCGATATTTGGTATGATTTTAGTGTTGTCAATGTATTGGTAATGGTAGTATTTACAGCATGAGCAGAAAATAGTGCATCGTGATATCAAAGGTGATAATGTGTTGGTGAATACATATAGTGGTGTGTGTAAGATATCAGATTTCGGAACTTGTAAACGACTGGCTGGGCTGAACCCCGTTACAGAAACATTCACTGGTACTTTGCAATATATGGCGCCTGAGGTGAGTGATTTATTTCATCTCTTTAGCTCTCCATATTTATACAAACAACTTAACGAATCAGTTGGTTCGGGATGTGTTAGGTTGAAAAAAATCAGTGTTATTTCAGAAAGGTTCAAATGAATATTTTTTTAATTTTCGCGATCACCATGTGTGCATAGTTACTTACAAAACAGAAATGTAAGATTTGAGGCTGATGATTTTGCGATGCCTTTAGGTGATTGATCATGGTCAGAGAGGTTATGGAGCGCCGGCAGATATTTGGAGTTTCGGTTGTACAATGGTTGAAATGGCTACTGGACGACCACCATTCGTCGAGTTGGGGTCGCCGCAGGCAGCGATGTTTAAAGTCGGAATGTTCAAGGCGCATCCGCCGATACCCGAACGATTGAGTGAACGATGCAAACGATTCATATTGAGGTTGCGATAATACTTCATTATGAGCACATATCTTTATGTTGTCACTTTCGTTTATTTACAATGTTCGAGAAGCTATCTCTTTGAAGAAGTGGTGAGCGACTTTTTTGGAGAAGAATAAACTGAATTCATTCGCGTTGCAGTGTGGTTCGTAGTAGTATGTTGTTGCATGTATTTATCAGTGAATTAGAAGAAAGATTCTCTCCTGAAAATAGCTTCTGTCAAATTTTTTCGCCGAATTTCAGAGCGTTTGAAGCAGATCCACAGAAACGAGCAACCGCAGCCGAATTGTTGGTTGATGCTTTCATTCAGTCATATATACCACATTCGTAAGTTTTTAAGTTCTGATCATATTTCTTCATAATATAAATTGGTACTTCTGTTAACTTATTATTACTTCGTTTCATCAAATCATTTTATTCGATTCAATATTTGAATTTTGTCATTTCCATCTGAAATTTCGTTGTATATCTAAAATATATCGGTCAGGTCAATTCGGTTGTTTTCTTTTACATTCGCGCAGAATTTCGTAAAATTTGTTGAAGAATCAGTAAAAATCCTTCATTAAATAAAGCAAAAGTTTTGTTTGGTTGTTTGGTTCGTATGTGAGTGAGTTATAGCAATAAGATGAGATTTTTTGGTAAAAGAACAAATCGTGTTTATTAGCTTCAGAAATAGAAGCGGAAGCGCTAATAAGAAACATTTTGAAGCGATCAAACAACATAATCGAGGTGGGTGAATATTTGCGTATGATTGATTTGTATGTTTTTCGTTGTTGTTCGATATTCTGTTCATTCTCTCGTTATCATGTTATAATGGTTTTTTAATGGTTATCGTTAGTTGTGTGGACGTAATACATATCTAGTTCTGATTTTCATTCAAATCCTATTTGTGATTCATTAGTCACTGTATGAGCGAAAAACGTCCTGTTTATTCGTACGCCTGGGCCATTTTGACCACCTGCTTGTGAGGATAGAATCCCATCCTATTTCCGGTGTTTGGCTGAGATCAGAATCAGTCAATGAATATGGAATCAAAACAATGTGTTTGTATAGTAAGGTTGATATGAAGCAATAACAGACTTCATCGAAATGAAATTCGTTGGATCTAATAGTCCGGCGATTTGCCTGTAGTTGGTTTGTTCTCCAGTTTGATGATATTTAGTTTTGCAAAGTGGAGTGAGTGGAGTGTCTTTGACATCAGCCGTATTTGATAAGTGAATTAGGTGAAGCAACGCTGAGTAATAGTGTAATGAATTTTTTTAGTTGAAACTTTTTTGTCGTCATCAGCCACAAGTGAAGGTTCATCACCGATCTATCATCGTCCAGGTGTGCGCCTTCGTTTGCATTTCAGATACATCCTTTAGTTGAAATGAAATGCTATATATTATATTCTTTTTGAATTTTTGGCGTTCAGCCTTTTGGCTTAATTTTTGAATTGTTTCAAGCTGAAACCTGGTTCTGGTCTTACAATAAGCTCCTGAATGAACGTAATTTGAACGTATGAAAAGGGTGCTGAAAGGTCTTGCAGCATCATCCTTTGTCCGCTGTGCATTTCTATATAGTTGTCGGAAGCACGTTGAAATTTCCATTCTGCTGAATGGAAATTTTTTGGTGTTTTCTCGTTGAATTTCAATTGTATATAACGCATTCCGCTTGCGCATTCGTTCATCTTATCATATCATTGGTCAAGTCAACTAACTGGTTTATCCAGTGGTATTGTGTTGACTGTTTGCTATGTTCTTGTTATCAATGTTTTGTTCATCAACGCAGAATTCGTTTCGCGTAATACGACGAAACTGGAAGGCGATGAACAGCGAGTGGCGTTTTCATGAAAATCTTCCAAAATTTTCCTCACAATCAGCACTATCCGGTTGCACTGGCCGGCCGAGATTTGAGTGTGAACACATTCGCGTGCATGCACTTAAATTTTTTTTGAATGTTCAGCATAAGTGGTTGGATTGAAGGATTCCGTTTACTTATTCAAGCCAAAGCATTCTTTCAGTCAAATAAATTTCAGAAATTCATCGTTCTTCGTCGCATTTGGGCGGTATTGGACTGAATACTTTCCAGACGAGTGGTACCCAACAAGGACCGTCCACAGTGCAAAGTAAGAAAGGTGTTGGAGCTAGTAGTGAAATGAACAAATAGATGTTGATTTTGCAGCGAGCACGGAGCAAACAACAGCAACCAATACCGAAACGTCATCAGAAGTTAAAGGCGGCGCGCAACAGCACTTGCAATCCGAAGCATCGAATGCACCAAAGAATCTGCACTTGCTTATCGACAGCTCAGTAACGAGTCCAGCTGCAGCTTTAACACCTAGCTCTCATTCGTTTATGCTCGATCAAGGAGTTGGAATGTCGATAAGCCCAAATGTGAGCACTTATCAACTGAGTCAACCGTCATCGCCCATTATTGGTGAGTTGAGTTATTTTGATTATTATTATTTTTATATTATTATAATCGTTGTTATTATTTTCATCGATATTGATTGTTATAATTATTGAATCATCAGTATTATTGAAATGTCTCTTCGTTTTGTAGATATATGTTTCGAAATAAAAAAGGAGAGGATTTATTATAGGGGATTTTGCTTGACGTACTATTTATTTCTTGCTATTTTCTTGAATTGATATTTCTTGCTAAAATCCTGGACTTGCCATTTTTATTTCTCTCGTTTCGAAATAAAAATAGCATCCGAAAAGAAGGGGTTGGGCAAATATTATGACACCTTTCCTCCGAAATGTCAAAAGCTCTCATCGATCATTGTTATCTTAATTCCTTCTCGCCAGCATAATTTTATTTGCAAAATTATTCCAACGCGACGAATTTATGGGCGAAGATTATTTGTTTTTGCATACTAATTGCTTCGAAATTTATTTTCTTTTTGTGGTCGTTTTTGTCGACAGAAAAATGTTCGTTCAGCTTATATCAATAACCATTAATCTTCATCATGATTCATCTGATATTTTTATTGAAGTTTTTTCATGATTCCAAAGTTTCCCTCCGATTGTTGTTGGTATTGTTATTCTTTCGATGTGAATATTATTGTTTTAACTGCAGATGATAACACGCATCCACAACTGATTAACACGCCATCCGTGGGAAGTCCATCAGCAGTGAACGGTATGTTGCATTCAACATCGTCGTGTTTCAGCTCGCTGAATCGCACCTCATCTGACGAGAGTGGAATGTCGTCAAGATTCTTTATGCTCAAGAAGGATTCTGAGCGACGAAACACTTTGGCACGCTTCATGTTGGATTATAAAGCTGAGGTAGGTTTGTTTTATTATGAACGTTGTGTATTCTGGTTATTATTGTTGTCGTTGCTGTATCACTTTGGTTCTTTCAGTATCAACAATACAATCCCGATACGTTTTTTTAAACGTTTTCAAATTTTCAGATAATCGACAATTGGTTCGAACATCTAGCGAAGAGTCAACAGACAACAGAATTGCTAGTTACAAAGGTTAGCGAGAGGAGAGCGGAGTTGTTGTTTTGTTTGTTTGTTCGTTTTCGATGTATTTTAGACTAAATGAGCATTTACGCGGTTTGCGACTAGGGTTTGCGAAATCCCGACGTTTTTTTAATCCTGGAATCGAAAAATTTTTGTAATGTCGACGCGGGACATGTTCAAACACATTTTTTCGAACCAATATGTTCATTATCAATCAGAAAGGAGTTAATTCAACAAATTATTGAACAAATTCGAGGAACCAAATTATTCAAATTCAAATTAATATCTCATATAATGTTGCTAATGATCATGTCGTAAGGGCATACTGCATTTTCTATGTTATATCATCTTGTCGTCTCGGGTCTAAGCTAATAACAGTACACTTGCATATGAATATGAAATTCTTGATTCTCAAACACTTATTTCAAGTCCATTTTCTCGAGTATTAACGTCAGCTGAATTCTGCCTTTTCGGAAGTTTCGATTTTTTTTACGAAAGGAATGCATCGCATAAACTATATCATTTGAGTTTTGAAAAAATTAAAAGTTCAGAGTTTATCTGAAAAGAGAAAAAAATCCGCAATGAATTTTTATCGAACCTTCGAGCACTTACATGTTTGATAATTTCGATCAGAGATCATGGAAATTTATTTATTTATTTAATCAGCAAATCAAACTCATTACGAGTTTATGCCTCTCTGTTATTACCAATATCACTAATATCACATTCTTCCTTCCTTGGCATTCTTCTTTCCGCGCAGCTAACGATAATAGCGTTTGGAATAAATGTACTTGATAGTTAAGCTTAAGATCCTTTTGAATAGAACAATTTCTCTCACTTCGACAGTGAATTCTCACTATGAGTGAACTCAGTGAGAATTAATGTACATTTCGATCGGATGAAAGTGTTTCCAAATAGCGAAGTAAAAAGACTTGTAGTCTTTAGAACATGCAGTTGAATTAACAGATGGAATATTGAAGCCGAAGAAATCGCGTGGGAGGAAATGATTCAAAATTCCTTTGAAATTTGTTGCTCTTGGTTCTTATTGGAAAATGTGCTTATCTCTGTTAGTCTACTTAGAAATGCATCCAGATGAGCGTGATATCAGTGAAGAGCAGAATAATCAGTTGAATATTTAATGAAATGTTACGTAAAAGTTCATCATGCTGTCGTTGATCATGTCATTTGTCCAATTTGCGTCTATTTCCTTAGCTATTCATGAATGGTAGAGGGCAAACAGCAAAAATGATTGCATATGAATGAGATGAGAATGATTAAAACTTGCTTCAAGATGAGCATACTATCAAAATTCATGCAAATTGACCTGTTTCATCAAATCCCGAAATCCCAAAATTTGAAGTTTTTCAAAACTTAAATCCCGTGATCGGGATCAGAATTGGAATCCCGGGATCCCTGCAAACCCTATTTGTGATTCGTAGGAGTACTCATTTTATCAGATTTTTGTGGATCAAGCACGGAGCTTGAAACAGTTTTCATTTTATTTTAATGTGAAGTATAAGTTGAATATTTATTGCTGTGACTCTTTTTGTTTTTAGGAGATGTTGTTGACACTTTTACTCGGAATGCGTAAGTATCTTTTAACGAAAGATACGGCTACAGTTCAGGCAAGTTTTATGCTTTTCTTAGAGCATCTTTTATGACAATGAAGTATGAAATTCACATCCCTTCGAGAGCGATCGATACCGATTATGCATTATTAGCAATCGGTAAGCAAGGGTATGTTCTGTTGAGATGACAAAAAGTAATTGTTTTAGACAGCAATCGATACGATAAGAGCGCAGTTGGACTACGAACCAACGGCAATATCACAAGTTAATTTGGCGCTTTATGCATTCTCGGATGCCGTACAACCGTCATTGCGACAGCAAAGCATCAAACCGCACTGGATATTCGCACTCGATAATTTGATCAGAAGTACGGTGCAAACGGCTGTTGGAATCTTATCACCTGGTAAGCGAATTGAATATTTTCGCTTCGCTTTTTATATTGAGTCGAAAATAAACTTCCGCTTTTCCTGTGCAGTTTAGTCACTCAAACTTAATTCTTCACTCAGCTACATATAAAAGTGTGGCGTTATTAAGCTGCTTAGGTCGTTTCGGATTGATCTTCACTAATAAATAAATATTATCACTCCCATTGCATATTCATACCAGTCAATCATAAATATCTTGTCATTCAATTATGCAAGAGCTTGGACTGCACCTTTGAGCAGTCCATTAGATCAAAAAGAATGTTATCGTCATTCAAATGCTAATCATTCAACAAACCAATACTATGCAGATCTGTCGGCAATGCTGTCTGTTCAAGATGCGCCAGGCAATCGTATGTCGTCAATATCGCGCGATAGTGCTGGATCACACAGTGAACATTCGACCATTGATAGTCGGTGTTGTTCGGCGACGCATGGCGCCAGTCGAGAGGCGTTATGGGGTAATCTTTCACCGGAAATGCGAAAAGAGCTGAGGTCGTTGGCTGATGAAAATCGACGGTTGGTATGATTACTTTTCATATTTTGGTTTGGTTGAATCCGTTTGAAAGTGTTGCTTAATTGTGGATGAGCATTTGGAAGATATTATTCGTTCTTTTGCGTCGATTAATTATTCATCCGTGTTTATCATAACTTGCATTGCGCTAAACCCGGTAATTTTATTGGTAATGAGAATGTTGTTGTGATAGGATGATAGTCAATTGCAATTCATTATCGTTGGTGAGCCATTGAATCACTTGCCATACATTCTGATATCATGTTTTATTATTTATTACGTAAGACTGGTTTTTGTAGGTTGTTTGAAGAGTTGGTGTGTGTGGAACGTGAATATAAAGAGTTACTGCAAAGTACGCTGAAAGAGAAACGTATTCGAGTGGAACGATTGACAGACTTTTTATCAGAAAGTGGAGCTGGAATGGCAGCTTTCAACGCTACCGGAGCCGGAATGACAAACTTCAGTGGTACTCCAGGGGCTGTTCTAAGTCCGCGAAATGCTGCGGATATAGCATCGGCGACAAATGCTTCTCCAACACCGATGTTACCCGCTTTCCAGCTGTCTGCGAATAGTAACAGTAATACATATTCTTCAACAACTTCGCCGATAATTATTCACAATAATTATAATGATAGCGATGCCAGTAATCAATCAATGATGGCGTTACGATCGTCAATTGTCGTTCCACCACCATCAAAGTCGAATTTTGTCTGCAGTCGATCGCATCAGCTCAGCAATCTTAACACAATGAGTAACGCATCCGTGATCAATTCACTAGCATCGTCGTCAACGTTTATCAATGAGCTGCAGTCGCAGTCGCCCGTTGTCGGTTCACCGGATGGCTCGTTTGGGTGGGTTGCTCCTTATAATTATATCAGTCGTCGTTGCATTTTGCATATTATTGGCAATTATCATTTACAAAATGTCTCGTGTAGACTGTTTCCTTATAGTTGATGAATACTATGACCCATTGCGCATCACTATCGTATTATTAAGCATTCCATGATCGTAATTTCCTCAAAACTTGTAATGTCCAACCGTTAAGCTGTCAGCATGTGGTTTTCTCAGACTGCCATTGTTTTTAGTTTATTTTTGTTGTTGTATATACATACCATCATCAGAATTAATATTTTTAATTTTTAGCCATCAATTTTATATCCGTTCAATTGATATTATCATTATCATCGTATGAATGTATTGGTCATAAAAATAACATCAAATTTTCATTTCAGCCTAGTGCGAAATGACGATCTGGCACAATGGTTACGCACACTGAACTGTGATGAGGCATCAATAAGACGTTTACAACAGGAAGAATACACAAAAGATGATTTAATTGATTTTGTCACTCGTGAAGAATTACTTCAACTTGGACTCAAGTGCGCTCTTGTTTATTTAAATCGATCTGGTCTTTGACGATGAAATTGTATCAGTGGTTTTCGATTTAAAAGAAAACCTTGTAAGGATAACTGACAAGTGAAACATTTTTCTACTGTTAGGGAAAATTTATGATTTCAGTGAAGAAAAGGAGAGTTAAAAACTGTGAGATTTCAGATTTGTTGCAGTGTCGTTTAATAATTTAGGATAAAGAAGAAATTTTTCAAAATGATTTGTACTAAAGATTTCTTCCTTTTTCAGAGGCGGTATGGTTTGTCGCATGTGGCGTTCAATCGTCGCACAACGTGAACGTCATCATCGCACCCCTTGTGCGGGTTATCTAACGCCGTCACTCAGGTCACGACATAATTCAATGGATGATTTCCATTCACCCGTCAATGATGAACTGTACACCGTGACTGAACTGTCAACAATGTGACCTCTTTTTTCCCGTTGTCTATGTCTTTTACCTTATTCCTGATCCTCTTTTTCCTTCTCTATGGGTAATGTTCGAACACCGTTTCGTTCTATTTAAAAAACAATGTTTTATTTTCATATGGTTAAATTGATTTTCAACTCATTGTGAGCTTGTTGCCTTTTGAACTTCCCCATTGCTTCAAGCCTTGATCATTCTCTTGAATTTGGTTCAAGCTCTTTGAATTCTAGAAGTAAATAAACGAGCAGAAACAATTTATGCTCACTTTAAGCTCCATTTTGAACTTCACACAAATATAAATTTTAAAAAACCAAATAAACCCAACTTCAGGCGGAGTTTGAAGACGTTTCCATTACTCTTATTTCTGTTCTTGTGTATTCGTATTTGTTTTCAGTTATCATTTGATTTGTTTTTTATTTACAATTTTTTGATAATTCATAATCTTACAATCTCATCTGTGACATAAAAACGGAATTATACCCTGGACCTACCTGTAATTTGGTTGGTATTTGTCTAGATGTAATGTTTGTTCTTGATTTGGTCGTCATATTGTTTTGCTGATTGGCATTGATGAGTGATTTTTCATTGCAAGACTAGGAGTTTTTCAACTTGTATTGTAATCCAACATTATTATATTGTTGTTGTCATTATTGTATAGTAGCTGTGCAAGAAGTAGTGCTCTAGAGGTTTGTGCGATCTATACTTCTGCAACGGTTATTGAACAAAGTCAAAAGGCTCATTTGATAGTGAAATATTCGAGCATTTCTGCCTAACTGTAACTATAAGCCATAATCGTTGCCGTCACATATGCGTCCTACAAACATTTTTATCACAGTTCTAGGTTTATTCATTCAAATGATTTTTTGTCAGTTTTAGTCGATCATTTTACTTTTCTGTTTATTCAAATGTTGTTGCTCTTATGAATTTTTTTTTCATTTGGAAATATTGATTTGTTTTTATATTTTGTGCATGCAATATTTAATCGATTATATTCATTAATCGTTTACTGTGAGTGGGGTTGCGATTTTGAGTATATTGATTGTATGCGATAATCCCTAATGTCTACTTAAGTAACGTGCGTAAATTTCTATTTGTAAATTCGTTTAGTATTTTACTTGCAAATGAATTTTATTTATTCTTTTTTTCTTCACAAGTTTGTTTATTTTGTAATTTAGTATTCATGTGTTTTACTTCTACTGATAGCGATTGTTTTTTGAGTCCTTGAAGGATGGTGGATGGTTCACGTGGAGATCGATTCAGCGCCAGATTGATTTGGTTGGTGATCTATGAACTTGGAATTTCAAGTTCGGTTTAAGTAAAGGGGGCGGTATTCAGTTTCGTTTTTTGGAAGTGTTTGCAAATTTCAATTTCAGTTTTGTTCCACATTTTTTCCAACGAATTTTCAAAAATTGTTTGGGAAAAAATGTTTTCACGATTTTGAAATTTTGAAAGCGTAAAAGCTTCGAAAGAAGTGGATTCTTCATGACCGCTGTCAAACGTCAAAGTCAAGTTTCTGTAGTATTTTTGTATACTGCTTAGTTGTTTTCATTACTGTTTTATCACCCACAATCAGTGTTTTGTGCTGTGTTGATCTTTTGCTGTGTTTTATTTTGTTTTGTTTTAAGTCCAAACGATCGAAAAGTCTCCATTTCAAGGAGACAGGAGCGATTCTTTCATATATTCATTTTTCTCATATTGAATAGTTTTCAGTTTATGTAAATGTCTTATATATTTTTGAAAATGAAGAATTGGTTATTTTCAACGAGTCATATTCAGTTCATAACTACTGTTTTTGCGTAATTTTTCTTTTTATATCTTTGTTGCTGTTTCATTTGCTTGTTTGTTTCACTGTCAATTTTATTTTTTAGGATTTAGGTTCTTCTAGCTTGTTTTTCAAACGATCATTTTTGTACTGTCATCATCATCATTATAGTACCATTTGATTGAACTAATCCGGGAAGTTTCGAGGAGAAATTTTTTACAGATGTTCAGATATTTCGAGGATTTATTGATAAAATTCCAAAAATGCACACTTTTTATAACGACATTTGTGATATATTGGAATAGCTGGTTTATGTTGCAGAAGAAATCCTTTTATCATTTTTTGTTCCGTTTATTCGTCATTTTGCAGTCTATTTTTTTGAAGATTATTTAGTGGAATCTATGTTTAATTGATGTGTACTATTGTAAAGAGTCTTGGAGAAGCTACGTTCAAAATGTATTGAATTATCTCAAATTATCTAGATACTTCAAGCAAAAAACACATTCTGTTTATTTTGCAGTTAGTTTTTTGTTTTATATCGAAATTTTTGAAATTCATTATTTTTTTGTGCCATTTCAATCGTTTCCTCTACAGTGTTTCGTTTGTGTTTCAGCACGTTTGTTCAAATGATTTTTTTTGTTTTTGTGTTTTTGTTTTATTGTTTTTTTTTCTAAGTTTTCCTTGAATATTTTGTTTTGTGGGTTTGTGTAGTTACGTTTACACGGGAAGTAAATGCGTCATAAATCACTTTTGTGATTGATTACTCCAGTAGAATAATTTTTCCTCCTGTTTCTGCACATATACATAATTGATTTATGTTGAATATCTATTTTTATAATTGGGAAGGGAAAGTGTTGTCCATGATGGCATCTTGAACCCTCGCTGGGAAGCGGTCGAGAATTCGAGTCCACCTTGAGGACTAAATCTTCGCTCATTGACTGATAGCAGTGCGAACCGTAATTGTTTCGCTTATTGTCGAATTGATCGGTCAAATTTGTTGTCATCCGTTTTTTTTTTCAGGTTTTATTTTATGTTTCATTTTTTTTTTGTTAATGATGTATTTTCATAGTAATTGGAAAAATTGTTTCTTTTTTCTGGTCGTAAATTATTATATTTGATCTTTTGTTTGTTCGAGTAGTTATAAGTTCAATCTGGAAGCATATTATGGATCATACCTATTATATTTGTATTGTTTATTTGAATGAAGTGCATTAGTTTATGAAAATTTTATTGTTTGATTTCCTTTTTGAATCAGTTCACTCTCATTTGTCCAATGATGATGGTGATGATGACGATTATCAACTGTATAATTAGGGTTTGCACGGGAACCCGGGATTACAGTTCTGATCCCGATCCTGGGATTAAAGTGTTGAAAAATCCCGGGATTTGATAAAACAGGTCAATTTGTGTGAATTTTGATAGTATGCACATCTTGAAGCAAGTCTTAATCATTCCCACCTCATTCATATGCAGCGATCTTTGCTGTTTGCCCTGTATCATTGATGAGTAGCTAAGGAAATAGGCGCAAGTCGGACTAATAACATGATCAACGACAGCCCGATGAACTTTTACGTAACATTTCATTGAATATTCAACTGATTATTCTGCTCTTCATTGGTTTATATCACGCTCATCTGGATGCATTTCTGTTTAATAGAGTAACAGAGATAATCAAATTTTCTAATGAAAACCAAAAGCAACAAAGTTCAATGAAATTTTGAGTCGTTTCCTCCCACAAGGTTTGTTCGGCTTCAATATTCCATCTGTTAATTCAACTGCATGTTCCAAAGACTGCAAGTCTTTTTGCTTCGTTATTTGGAAACATTTTGATCCGATCAAAATGTACATTAATTCTCACTGAGTTCAGTCATAGTGAGAATTCACGTCGAAGTGAGGGGAATTGTTACAATCAAAAGGATCTTAAGCTTAACTGTCAAGTACATTTTCATGATCTCTGATCGAAATTATCAAATATGTAAGTGCTCGATAGTTCGATGANCGCTATTATCGTTAGCTGCGCGGAAAGAAGAATGCCAAGGAAGGAAGAATGTGATATTAGTGATATTGGTAATAACAGAGAGGCATAAACTCGTAATGAGTTTGATTTGCTGATTAAATAAATAAATAAATTTCCATGATCTCTGATCGAAATTATCAAATATGTAAGTGCTCGATAGTTCGATGAAAATCCATCGCGAATTTTTTTTTCACTTTTAAGATAAACTCTGAACTTTTAATTTTTTTCAAAATTCAAATGATATAATTTATGCGATGCATTTCCTTCGTAAAAAATCGAAATTTCCGAAATGGCAGAGTTCACCTGATGCTAATAGCGCGAGAAAATGGACTTGAAGCACTGCAAATAAGTGTTTGAGAATCAAGAATTTCGTATTCACATACAAGTGTACTGTTATTAGCTTAGACCCAAGATGACAAGATGCCTTAGCTTAGAATATGCAGTACGCCCTTGCGGCATGATCTTTGGCGTCATTATATGAAATATTAATTTGAATTTGAATACTTAGTTCCTTGGATTTGTTCAATAATTTGTTGATTTAGCTCCTTTCTGATAAATAATGAACATATTGGTTTGAAAAAATGTGTTTAAACATGTCCCGCATCGATATTTCAATAATTGTTCGATTCTGGATAATTGTTCGATCCCGAGATTATCCCGGGATCAAAAATCGATCCCGGGATTAAATTCCGATCCCGGGATTGAAAAATCGTCGGGATTTTGCAAACCCTATGTATAATTATTGTGGTTGGTTGTCTATGGAGACTACTGTCTACAATTAGTTTATGAAGGGTTGAAGAATATTTGCGTGTTCATGTTTTAATCAGCAATTAACTCATATACCTCTGTTATCAGCACTATCACATCCTTCTGTTGCGTTATCAGCGCAGAGACTGTCGCTCTTCGCAAAATTCTTTGTCAGTTCACTAACCAACTATTAGACGAATAGCATAATGTTGTTAAAGATAGAATCAAAAAATTACAAAACACCATCAGTAAGTCAAATCACTTTGGTGTTATATTTATAGATTATATCTTTTCGTTTGTATTTAGTTGTGATTTGACCTTAATTTCGAATGAATACATATTCACTTGCTAGTAGCGGATCAGCGCGCTATTGCCCATCTCTGAAAATTGAAACATATGAGTAAACGAATGAGGTTATGCGTACATCATGAAGGTAGCAAATTAAAGAATAATAAAGCATTTATTGTCGTTAAAAAATATTCCAAATTTTATGATTTGAGACCTTTGCGACACTTGAAAATTTTGACGGGGAATGAATAGTTGAAAAGTGTTACTGAGTGTGCGATAGGAAAGAGGATGAAGCTGATTATAGCTTAGCCCTACGCATGATAGGTGCAATGACGTCTGTCCTTAAACTACTGATCTATTTTCCGAACGGTTGCTCTTATACCAGACAATTTCATGCAGAGCTGGCGGTTGTCTCCAAATTTTATGCTTTAAATGCCGTGAGCAAAATCGATAAAGGAGATAATGATTGTAACATATTTTCACCTTCAAAGTATAGTTTCTAATCTCTTGGCAAAAGCATTATTTACTTTTTGTATTGTTGCTATAAAAGATAGTAATTTTTCTGCGCATAGCATATTTTATTGCATATGCATATCGTATATTCGATGCATCATTCAGTTTCCGTTTTAAATGTCTCTAACATAGAAATCCGTTTCTCAAGAAATATGCGTATAGGTCAGTGGTTCTCACGCTCAAATGCCACCATTATCTCCCCCCTCCCTCCTGAATAATGTTGGAAACAAAAGGAAAACAGGTCCGGAATTTCCTCAGTGGCGTGAAAAAAATTAACTTTCTGGAATGAAACAAGTTATCCCGGTTAAGAAACATTCATAAGCGACGCAAGAATTAGAAATCGTAAACACTGAAAAAAGAAATCGATATCGCCAAATCCAGAAGTACTCTATCGTCCTTCACCAAATCAATGATCTTTCCTGTCGTACCAAAGAGCTCAATCAGTTGTTATTGCTCATGAGAGGCGACGTCAGCCAATATATTATAGCACTTACGAGATATTTGTGACTTCTTCAAACTGACTTTTGTTCGGACCTAAAGAGGAGCTTTCCCATGAACAAGCCGCGCTTAGATATCCGAGTGAAAAATACACCATCACAATAACGTTTCATCATAGCAAAACAACACTAAATATTAGTTTATCTCAATCGATCCGCAGTACGTAAAAAAAACTCATCGAGGGATTCGAACGCTCTATAGTTCGAATTTATTTTCATCATAACATAAGAAGTGCAGGAAATGCTAATTTCCCGACCCCCGAGACCCTCAAATTACCCAAAATGAGTAATTTAACCCCTTATGAGAACCACTGGTATAGATTATCAAGTGATATGTGAAACTCTTACTGGAGAGTTCCTCAGCTTCCATGTTTCGTCCTTCAACCTGATCTGATCGAAGCTTTTTACTGGAATAAACGAATAACTCTCCTTCTTCATTGAATATTGTTACTTTTGCTATTATACTATCGAATCGTCATCGGTGACCCGGATCTGTAATTAATATCAGTATTGCTGTTATCAATGTTTCATCATAGCAAAAGTGATATGTGAAATTACAATCTCAGAATCAGTATTGTTATTATAAATCCATCATTATGACTATTTATTACATCAACAATAACTGATTGCTATCATTGCAAACGGATAACGAGTTTCGATAACTAATATCTCATCGTAAATTTCCCTCGGAAACATTTTGGCGGCATTAATCGCGTTGAACATTTCTTAGTTGTAAGTGGTATGTATATTCTTCACGATAACACCTCAATCGTTAACTCCTTACAATCGTTCTCAGAACAACAATTCATTTCGTTGTTCTGTTATCATCATTAATACGATCATCTGTTCAGAAATATAGGAGAGTAGACTGACTCCTTATCTTTGTGTTTGCTGAATCAGTGATTCATGATTAGAATTTCGCGAAGATGCCCGATTTCGCTATCCAACCACTATTGCTCTTTTCTTCCTATCAGTTTATCTCCAAATTTGCTCATTCTGGTACTGTTATTAATGAAATGCAAAATCTCGTAGTTCTTTGTTTGTTACTGTCATCTTTCAGGTTTCCAATGGCCAATATTTTCAGAAGTTTTTTCAAATCGAAGAAATCCAACAAAGCGTCATTTGAGGTAGTGATTTCCGTGTGCTGTCAGTTTATCTGACACAGTTTGCATTTGATCGAATCCCTTATGCTGGTTCAAAGGTGTTTAGAGTTGTCATTGTAACACAGTTGTTATCATTTGTATTTTTGTTGGCGTTCTTATTATTCCTACGATCAGCAGTATTGATGTTTGCGGCATTCAATACTTATTATTGTTACCACTACTGCTGTAACTCATGCCACTCTTTCTGTCACTAATATTATTTTTAGTATTATTGGGTTGTTGCATAAGTTCGTGCGCTTTTATTCAAATTGAATTATTCTGAGAAAAGTCCACTTTTCCGAAGGAGTGTCGTACACCAATCGATAGCGTATTTTCTGCTCTTCACAGCTGTCTTAGGCGGTCTACTGAAGTTTCGTTTCGTCCGGATCTTCAGCATGATGAAATGAAGTATCAGGTGGACGAAAAAACGTATTTTCGACAAGTGCTACTTTGTGCATTCAATCAGGGCTCAACGGTCGCTTGTGACATTTGTGCCGTATACGGAGATGATGCAGTGCTGGCAAGAATAGCCCAGAAATGGTTTGCGAGGTTCGCGAAGGGCAACTTCTACGTGGAGGGCGGGCAACGTTCAGGTCGGACGTTGGATTTCGACGAGGGGCGTCTAAGTGTTCTCATCCGTCAGAATC